CTGCGACGAGCGCGAATGTTTCCGGTCCTTGACGTCCTGATATGATGTAAGGTCCGAAAAATCGTGATTGAAGTTTGTCCGATTGGCCTTTTCCTCTGTAGGGAACGTGTAGCCACACTTTATCGTTTATCTCAAACTCGGTGTTTTTTTGTTTTTGTCGTATTGCTCTTTGTTCACTTCTTTTTCCTTGTCTGCTAGTTGTCGCGCGAGTTCCCTGGCTTCGTTCACCCGGTGCTGCAACTTCTGAACGTATTCGTTGGCGGTGATGGTTCTGGTTTCGGGTGGTGCTGGAAGGTTTGTGTCGAATGTCGTTGTGGCTTCCTTCCCGTATACGATGAAGAACGGTGAAAATTTTGTGGACTTTTGTGGGGAGGTGTTGTAGGCGTGTACGGCGAATGGCAGGATCTCGTCCCAGTCCGTTTTGTTTCTGTTGACGTATTTACTGAGGCAATCTGCAATTGTACGATGGGACCTCTCCGTCAATCCATTCGTGGCGGGATGGTACGGGCTGGTTCGACGGTGTTCGGTCCCGCATCTTCTGTTGATCTGGTCTAGCGTCTCGGATAGAAATACCTTACCGAGGTCACTTATCAGAACGCGTGGGGCTCCATGTCTCAATATGATATCTTCCACCAGAAACTTCGCCACCTCTTCCGTTGTTCCATTGGGTAGGGCCTTGGCCACCAGGTACTTCGAGAGATGACATACGGCTGTGATAATAACTCGGTTACCACGACTTGTCTCGTTGAAGGATAATAGATCGATTCCGACCGTGTGGAATATACTTTCCGGTGTGTTCATGAGCTGAAGCTTTCCGAAGTTTTCGGTGCTCGGTTTCCTCCTTTGGCACTCACGGCATCGTTTGACGAACATTTCGACGTCTCTGTAAGCTGACGGCCAATAATATTTTTGAGTGATCTTCCCGTACGTCCTCGCAATTCCCAGATGGCCGCCTTCGCGATGGGCATGGGCTGCTTGTAGGGCCTCTTCTCTCCAAGTTTTTGGAAGTACAAGTAGAAGGTTGTCGCCTGTCCTGGCGAAATTCCGTTTGTAGAGTACGCCTGACACAGTCTCGAATGAACTGGAACGTCTCGCGATCGCTCGTATTCTGTCGAGGCTGGAATCCGTGAGCTGGAGCTGGGACAGTGATTCGAGCGAGAGTGCGTTGATCGACGGTGACTTCCGATCGGGTGAGTAATCTTGAGGTTCGTTCCGTCGGGTGTCGAATGCTGTAGTCTGCATAGACTGCGGTGCTTGGCTCGATGGGTTTTGTTTGGGAGCGGGCTGGATCGTGATCGATGGTTTCTTGGTGGGTTCCGTAGCCGTCCCTTGCGATCGGCTCGTGGGCTCGAGCGGGTATCTGGATAGGCAATCGGCATCTAAATGTTTTCTTCCTTGTTTGTAAATTACCGTGACATCGTGTTCTTGTAATTGCATCGCCCATCTCGCCAAACGACCTGTCAAGTGTCTGGATGTCATCAACCAACAGAGGGCATGGTGGTCCGTGACGACAGTTATAGGTCGAGCATAAACATACGGTCTGAACTTTGCGATAGCCCATATTACGGCTAGGCCTTCTTGATCAGTGGTTGAATATCTCGATTCGGGGCCAGACAAGGTGCGACTAGCGTATGCGATGACTCTCTCGACGTTTTTCTTATCTTTCTGTGCAAGTATCGCTCCGATCCCAAATTTCGACGCGTCGGTTCGTATGATGACTAGCTGAGTGGTGTCAAAGTGTCCGAGAATCGGCGGTCCCACAAGCTTATCCTTAAGCTCTTCGAACGCCTTCTGCTGTTCCATGTCCCACCGGAATTTCGTGCCTTCCTTGAGCAGGCCGTTCAGTGGTGCTGCGATGTTCGAGAAGCCTTCGATGAATTTCCGGTAATAGGAGCAGAGGCCGAGAAAGCTCCGAACTGCTTTTTGGTTCGATGGGAGCGGGAAGGAGCGGATCACTTCGGTCTTGGTCGGATCTGGTCGAACTCCGTCTTTCGTTATCTCATGTCCGAGGAGGAGAATTTTTGAAGCCGCGAATGAGCACTTCTTTATGTTGAGAGAGAGATTCGCTTGGTCTAAGCATTCGAGGACGTCCGTGAGTCGTTTGTTGTGTTCCTCTAGCGTCTCTCCAAAAACGCACAGATCGTCTAGATAAACTAGACAGACCCTCCATTTCCTGCCACGAAGTACGGTGTCCATGAGGCGCTCAAAAGTCGCCGGCCCATTACACAAACCGAAAGGTAGGACGCGGAATTCGAATAACCCATCCGGCGTTACGAAAGCTGTCTTTTCTCGATCTTTCTCGTCCAACGGACATTGAAAGTATCCTGACTTCAGATCCAAGGATGAGAAGAACTCCGCGCCGGCCAAGCAGTCGAGGGCGTCATCTATTCGTGGCAATGGATATGTGTCCCGCTTTGTGATCTTGTTCACTTCCCTATAGTCTACGCAAAAACGTATTTCGCCGTTCTTCTTCTTCACTAAAACAACCGGGCTATTCCATGGGCTTGCTGAGGGTTGCACGATTCCCTGTTGCTGCATTTTCTTGACCTCCGCAGCGATATAGTCGCGTTCTGCGGGTGCATAGCGGCGACTGTAACGCGTTCGCACGGGTGCGTGATTTCCAGTCTCAATAGCATGTGATACGAGGTGCGTCTGTCTGGGCGGTTCATCTTTCTTCGGTATCAGGAAGGGGAATCTGCAAATGATTCTTCTTATCACGTTTTGTTCTTCTGTGCTGAGATCGGGGTTTATCGCTCTGTTTATGTCGTCGAGAGCGTGATCAAGTCTTCCAGAGTCCCGATCGACACAAGTCCCAGGTGACATTGTCGCGATGGTTCTATGAATGCTACCGTCTCCGACAAGTTGACAGGATACGATTTTCATCCCTTTGGGCAGAATAATTCTCTCTGCGGTATGATTTTCGATGATAACTTTGGTTCTGCTTCGGCTTACCGTGACGATCGAATGGGGGCACACCAACCGTTTCTTTTCGAGTAGTGCTGTGAGCGGTTTCACTATGTACGATCTTTCTCTCTCTGCACCATCTTTCCGTTGCTTTTCGACGTGAACCGTTGTTGCTCCCCCCGCCTGGAGGACTGTAGTAGTGATTACTCGGAACGTTTGGTAGCCTTCGGTGGACTGCGAGTTGTTCGAGTACCCCGTAGGTTTCCGATGGGTAACCGATTGTATCATCTCGGCATGCTTCTCGATTACTCCTCCATGGTCGTCGGTTTTGAAGTTATTGATTTGGGCTTCTCGGAGATTAAGCGTGTTGCCTATCCTTCGGTTCAGCCAAATCAAGTCGTCCTTCAGATCTATTCGAGCGCCATGCGATTTCCAGAAATCCAATCCCAGTATGATGTTGTTGTTCAGTGAGTCAATGATGACGAGCTCGCACGGGAATGGCGACGAGTGTTTATTCAATTTGAGGCGGAGCGTGCAGGATCCTCTGATCGGAGTTCGTGAACCGTCGGCTAGGGTTACATGTCGAGGGCTGTGAGAGGCGAGATCAAAAACTTGTTTGGCTTTCAGATACTCGGTACGGATTGCTGATATATCGGCTCCTAAGTCTACCAAGGCTAGTACTGGATCACTGTTGTCGAAATACAATTTTACCAAATTCCCGTGAATTATTGATGCGACGTTACTGTCTTCACGGAACGGATTCAGCAACGTCGAGGGTCGTTTCCCGCCAGTACTCTGGGTATTTTCCGCTCCTTGTTTCTGCAAAATTTCAATGTATGACCAACATTGTTACAGTAGTTGCAGATTGGTCTTCCGTCGGGGGTCCTTCGGTTTCCGACGTAGTGCTGTTCGCTCGGTCTGCCACCGTAAGCGTCACCTCCTTGGGGTTTCCATCTTCCGAATCTTGCTGGCTCTCTCGATGGTGAGCGTGACTCACGTTTGCGTTCTTCCGAATGATATCTCGTAGGTGAGCAAGCGGTATTCCTTCGCTCACGTGAGTTGGATCGAGATCGGTATGATGAGAGCTGGTTGATCGTTCGTTCTGACGATTCCGAAAACGGGCTTTCGACAGCCTTGTTGCAGAACGGAAGTGTTTGGTCAAGCCAAGCGAGATGATCCCTGAGTTCGTTGACTGACTTGGGCTGTGCTGCTGCGAATGAGCGAATGTCCTCATGTGATAGTGTCTTCAGACACTTCTCGATGATATTTTCGTGCGACATTTCTGGATCAATCTCGTAGCAACATTCCAGCACGTGACTCAAATGGTGGACATATTTCATGTCCGGGTCTTTCGTCATGGTTGCCAATTGTTTCCGGGCTCGGTTCCGAATAGCTTTTTCGTCGATGAATCTCCTTTTGAACTCTACTTCGAACTCTTCCCATGAGGTTGCGTGCCAGCCCGTTCTGTGATACCAGGCACTGGCGTCACCTTCTAGAGACGCTCCGACACGGTCTAGCTTATCATCCGTCGATATTTTGTTGAAGTTCGCCGCTTTCTTGTAGCTCCGTAGCCATGCTGCTGCGTCTCCGGTTCCATTGAAGGTCGGATACGGCATCGGGCAGAAAGACATCTCTTGTAGTCTTTGCCGAATCGCCGACATGCATGCGAGTAGCTGTTCGCCAGACGCTCCTTTGAGATTGAATTCTGGAGTTGTTGGCTCGCTCGTAGGGCTTCCGTCTTCGTCTCCGGATGTCGTTTCGCTGGCCTCGCTGGATCGACTCAACTCTTCGACCTTTTGTCTCGATGTCGAGCAAGACGGGGTGTACACTTTTGTCTTCGGGTCCTTTTCGGGATTGGAGCTTGCAGGATCGGTATTTTTCTCTCCATTTGCCGATTCATCTTCGGCCACGTTTTTGATCGGTGTCCGCGCGGTTGACATCTCTTCGCTGGGTCGGGGACGGTCCGCTTCTCCACCAAATGCGCGTCGGGAGTCTTCTGTCACAGAGACGTTCCACATTTCTGTAAAGATCGAGTCAAGTCCCATGTGGAACTGCTGAGCGCATCCTGAACTTGATTCGGTGATATATCGTGAATAATGTCCGCGCAGTACCGACCGTACCGGGATGAAGAGGATGTGCCGCCGGAGGAGCGAGCGTGGGTGGACGACGGACCGAGCGGTCGGATCCAGATCTACGAGAAAACGACGCACGATATCCACCATGTCGTCACCCAGCGACACCTATTGCTCGGAGGATGCACCATCGCCTCCGTGGCTGCGATCATCGGACTCTGCATTGGATATTTCGCGCATACGGAGCACACTGTTTGCGCTCGCGGTCGATCGGTAGCGCTCTTCTCGGTGTATGACGAAGATCCGCTCGTCAAAGACAAGATTCTCGATATGGTCAGCGCTAGCCAATTCGTCCGTCACGTCAAACTCTTCGGGGAAGACTCATTGCTAGATGACCATATCGTCAAGATCACAAAAAGCGAGTGGAGGAAGGCTTTGGATGAAATCTACACTGACGAGTTCACCGCTCCCGTCACCACTCAGGGCAGCAAGCCCAACTCGATAGAGATAATCTATCCGAACGGGACTCTGAAGGAAAGAATGGACCTCAGTTTGACCATGAAAGAGTTCGTCTTCGTCGGGAACTCGATAAACAAAACGATAAACGGACATCTCGTATACGCATCGAAGCTTTATTTCAAAGACGCGAAGTATCTCGCTTCGAAAAACTGCACGCAGGGCGCCATCCTACTCGTCAGGTTTGGAGTCTCTCCCCTGCGTCAACAAGTTATGCAAGCCACCTCCCTCGGGGCTGCAGGAATTTTGCTTTACCAAGACATCTTCGATTATCCAAACTTGGATATGAACGCTTTCCCTCGAACGAGCGTTCCCGAGGGCGATAATTGGTCCGATAATTCGCTGGATGATCTGGATGCTAAAGCCAGCTATAAAAATCTAGTGGTGCAGACCGTCAACGGACCCATGGCGAAGAGTCTCCTCCAGCTTCTCGAGAGTTCCGATTTGGTGGCTCCTTCCAGGATGAGGGGCAACTCCAGCTCGGTTTATCATATTGGTCCTAGCAGTGTCAGTTTGAAAGTAACCACCCTGCAAAAGACTGCCCCAGAGAAATTGACCAATGTGTTCGGCGTACTTCGCGGTCGTGTGGAGCCCGACAGATACATCATCGTGGGCGCTGGCAGAGATTCCTGGAGTCCCTCGAATGTGGGCGGACTCGCATCCCTACAGGAGCTCGCGAGAGTCTTCGGTGAGCTCAAGGAACAGAAATGGCGGCCGAGGCGCTCGATCATTTTCTGCAGCTTCGCCGCGGAACACTTGGGATCCCTTGGTCTGAACCATTTTGTGAAGAACCGCTTGAACGTGCTCCGTAATCGCGCCGTGGCGTACATCGACGTCTCCAACCCAGTATTTGGCTTCAAATCAGTGCTGGGGACCGGTTCTCCCATCCTGACGCAACGACGCCATACGAGAGCTCGCGAAGCTTGCCAAAGAATCCGGTGAAGAAGACACCGTTCCTGTCTTCTTCTCCTGTGAGAATAGGATTATTCAGTTATTCATTTTTCAACAGAGATTGACGGGCGTTAGTATCTGGATCATTAGACTACTTAGGCAAACGCAAGAGACATCGTTCGGACACGTCGATACGGATGTCGTTCAAATGTAGCGCGCCGCGTCACTAGAGAACGCATGTCGTCGTAAGTAAGACGAGAGCAGACACTTCCGAGGCAGCAGTCGAAAGAGTCGTAACGCGCTAAGAGAAGTGAATAAATCGAACCTCGTGTGAAACTGAAATCTGTTCCATCCTGATCCAGCAATCTTACATTTGGTGGAGAAGCGGACCGTCCCCGACCCAGCGAAGAGATGTCAACCGCGCGGACACCGATCAAAAACGTGGCCGAAGATGAATCGGCAAATGGAGAGAAAAATACCGATCCTGCAAGCTCCAATCCCGAAAAGGACCCGAAGACAGAAGTGTACACCCCGTCTTGCTCGACATCGAGACAAAAGGTCGAAGAGTTGAGTCGATCCAGCGAGGCCAGCGAAACGACATCCGGAGACGAAGACGAAAGCCCTACGAGCGAGCCAACAACTCCAGAATTCAATCTCAAAGGAGCGTCTGGCGAACAGCTACTCGCATGCATGTCGGCGATTCGGCAAAGACTACAAGAGATGTCTTTCTGCCCGATGCGACGATTTCTGACGTTGGAACGAAGGTTACCGAGAGCTGTTTTTGCTTTCCAGCTGTTCTCTTATGTAGAAGTATCTTACTTCGATGTGTTTGGTCCTTCGATTAAATTGATTGTCCTTCACGAGTTTGATCGTGGATTGGTTGTCGATCTGGATTTCAGGCACGAAATCCGTTCCGAGTTCACTGAGGAACTTCTTGAGGTAGACTGCTCCTTTTGCAGTCTCACATGCAGCAATCAATTCGGATTCTGTAGATGAGAGAGAAACTGAAGTTTGTCTTCGACAATGCCAACTGACGGGACTCTTGCCGGAGCAAGTCACTGAGCCCGAGACAGATTTCCGGGAGAGTGGATCGCTCGCGTAGTCTGCGTCGGAGTAAAATTCATAGACGTCAGGTGCGCTCGACTTGAACAGAATACCATAGTTCGTCGTTCCGCGCAAGTATCGTAACAGCGATACAGCTGCGTTCCATCGCTTCTTTGTCACTTTGTCTAGAAACCTTGACAGGAAACTGACTGCGAAACAGATGTCTGGTCTTGTTGAAATTGTGAGATAATTCAGGCATCCGATGAGTTCACGATAAGGGACATCAGTCAAGTTTTCCGTGGTGTCCTCCGAGTAGCAGTCTCGCTGGATTGGAATTTTCGTAGGTCGGCAGTTGCTCATTCCGAACCTTTCGAGAATTTCCTTGACGTAATTTTCTTGATGGATGAATATGCTCTTATCGTTGCTGATCTCGATTTGGATTCCCAAGAACATTTCTGCTGGTTTGTAGGTAATATCTAATTCCTTTTCCAATTGTTTGCAGAAATTGATGATTGTTTGCTCAGAGTCAGCAGTCAGGATTGCGTCGTCCACATAGAGGCTGAGCATGAGCTTGTTCTCGCCATAGAAGACGCATGGATCCTGGCTATTCTGTTGCATATCCATATCTGAGAATACTGACTTGATTTTCGCGTGGAAGCATCTCGGAGCTTGTTTGAGCCCGTAGATTGATTTCTTCAGCAGACATACTCGGTTAGTTCCATCGGAAAATCCTTCCGGTTGATCCATGAAAATTTCTTCT